AACATATTATATACGGGAGACATTCGAAAAGTTTATCTCATATGACAGATGAAAACGAAGAGTTAGGCTCGAGCGCTTTGTCGTTCAGTTGATAAGAGATGGTAATCAACGACAATATAATGCAACGAGGCATTACGACATAGAAGGAATATGGATCAGCGCATTATGACATGGGGCAGTCGGTATCACTGGTGATAGATGGTCCTTAATGACAATATGGTGCATTGGGGAATTGGGAAATTGGGGGCATGAGGAAAAAGGCATCACTGGGTAAGTTGGCAGATGACGTGCTTGACAGTTGACACGACAGACATCGTCCAAAAGGACACTAGCATCTAACTTCGTTAATATAGTTAAATAAATTAGAACGTGGTAAAGTACGATCAATATTAAATGACGACAGAACATGCGCAATAGTATCGTCAAGAAGGCACCAACGCCTATCTTCCTTATTGTTAGTATGATTCTTACGTAATGTAAAAAGCCATATAGATGTAATAAATAACGACAAAAGATATGCGCAGTAGCATTCTAAAGAGGCCATTATCGTTTAACTTTATTAGTTTTGGTCGGATTTTGACTAAATTTGAAAAGGAAATGACACGTGATATGCTCATAATATGAATATGCCATTCGTTGTACCTTGTACCTCATTGCCTTTTTTTTTTTAAATTAAATCTCCGATTCTCATTATTTTTGAATATGTAATTTGATACGACATGCTAATAGTGAATCTGTCATTCAAACGTCAGAAAGACATAAAATACATTAAATGAAATCGTAGAACGTGATGATCACGTCTTTGATGCCATCTTTGACAGGTACCTCTTGGAACATCGAAAAATCGTTAAAAAAAGGCTTAAAATGTATGAAAACAAAGGACGGATTATTCTATAAAACTGACGAATCGATACAAATCTGGAAAGAGATTAAACGCGATAAGGAAAACTTTAACATCAGTTGTTTCATTTAAACGATAAGAAACATATTTAAGTATTTTTCGATGTCAAAACTAGCAAACTAACTACAATTATTTCGTTATATCTCCTTAATGCATCAAATTATCGATATGGGATGAAAATAATAAGATACAACAGCTCTTGCTTCGACCTTGTAAGTAGGGTTAGTTTTACTGTAATCAAGATCCTTTTGTCAGTTAAAGTAAGTTAAAGTATTTTTTGTTAGCTGTCATATACATATCATACCCAGGGGTGCGTTCAGAAATGGAGAGCGTCAAATTTTTAATCGTCCGGACAAAATTCGTTGGAACGTTTATTTTTGCCCGATAAATACGAACGGTAAGTGCAAAGTATTATCAAATTAAGTTTTTGGTTGTCTTTTCTGTAATCTGAGATATTAGGAATGATCAAAAATTAGTAAATATGTAACATCATTGATGTCTACATAGACTTTTTTATGTAAAAAATCAATTCATTACCTTTAATCCTGTGTCATAAAATTTTATCAATTTCTATAATGAAATTACCATCGTTTCCGACAACTAGACGATAATTGATGAAATTAGTTCTCTTATTCATACTCATATTTAAATATTTTTTACTCAAAAAGTAAAAATAGGAAATTAAATACTAGGTGGTTCTCATAGGTTAATTAAGGTTATGACATACTGCGCAAGTCGAGTAAAAATTACCCTACTCAACACGGTGGGTAAAATTTCTTCATCCCGACGCGTTTTTCTTTTAAATAGAAACGGCTGGGGTAATTCGTCCAGATAAAACATTCCATATTTAGGAACGCTTTTTAGAATTTAGACAACGTCCGGACGCATTTGTCCTACATTTTTGAATACACCCCAGTTAGATGCAGCTTGTCTTGTTCAATAACTAACTTCATTAGTATTCATCGGATTAATCTAAATTTGAAAGAGTAATGTCTCGCGACTTGCTAATTATGATTGTTATTCGTTGTGCATTTTTGGCATTTTTTTAAATTTTCATTCATTCATTGGCATTTGTTGAACTTCTGCTTATCGACTTTAATCTTTTCCACGCATGCTCAATATCGATTTTTTAGATTCCTATTGATTCGTAAACTATGTAACACCGCAGTATTGCGGAATAAGCTTTCCTTCTTGATTTTTAGCGATTACTTGATGTTTCAAAAGCACCTTGTCGAAGATGACATCATTCAATTGACCTAGCCCACGTCTTTCTATCTCGTAATCGATTTTAAAATGACGTTTAACTGACATATTCATTATTAGCATTTCGTATTCAAAAATTATGACAATCGGAGACATAAATTCAAAAAAGTGTCAATAAGGCACAACGAATGGTATATTCATTATTCGCATGTCACGTGTCATTTTCCTTTGAAATTTGGTAAAAATTCGACCAATACTAACGAAATTAAACATTAATACCTTCTTAATAGTGCTACTGCGCTGGCTTTTTTTCGTTGAGGATCATCATGTTAATTACTATCACCAGTTTATTCTAAGTCCCAATAGTTATGACTCACCCTGTATATATAAAATGGTTAGCAACATTAAATTCTTCATTTTAAAATTAGTTTCGAATATACATGGTGATAAATAATTTTACTCTGGAACAAACTTGCTTAGTACAGAGTTACATAGGGTATTTCACTCTATACAGGGTCAGTATTGATATTTCTTAAACGGTAACAGATAGAAAGTTGATTAAATTAGACAAAAGTTGTGCAGTTTTGTGCTCATTAAAACGGCAGAAACTTTTGATATCTACAGGGACAAAAAATGAAAATTGTCATTTCTTTAAATTCGTTCATTTTTGTCCGATATTGTAAATTTACCGTTACATCGATTTCAAAACTTTTGGTATTTTATAACTTTTTTATTCGTAATAGTTGTTTCCACCTCTAGTCGTCAAAATAAAATAACTGAAATTATCGATTTTTAATATTTTTGGAAGGGGCCATAACTTGAGTTTATATGCGTTTCCTCCTTATATTCGAAAGAGATACAAAATATTCTCTAGAACATTCAATTTTTTTTATTATAAAAGCCAACACGGCCGATTGAAAGCCTCATCTTCGATCTTCTCTTGCTGAAATAAGATTTTTCTCTCAGATACCTTTACCATAGTTGAAATGTTGAGTTTTTTTTTTGTGATTGGATTCGAAAATTAAACTTTTATTTAAACCATTCCGTGATAATTTCCATCCAATCAAATAATTCATTTTTATTTCTTGAAATTTCCTAGCACTGTCTTATTTATGTCAATCCCCTGTAAGTCACCCTGAAAGCGCCACGGCCAATAATAGTAATAGCCCTTTTCCACACAAGCTCACTTGAGGGGTTCTAAAGTACTTATATCTCCGTTTTGTTTTAATTACTAATATTAACCTTTAATTTAACTTTCTTTAATTTACTTAATTTTTCTAGGGTTCTTTGACAAACCTTGGCTGTTCTAAAAAAATTCTAGTTCGACAAATACTAAAATTTGTTAGGGTTCTTTGACAACCCTTGACTAGGATTTGCTTGGAAATCCTTGGATATTTCAAAATCTAAATTTATCCTTTTCACTATTCAGCTTTTCCAAAGTATTCAAATAACTCGCTAAATTTATTTTTAATATATACCGTATCGATTTAAAATAATTGATTTTATATCTTACCTGTTTAATTTTGCTAGTGCTTTTTGAAAACGTGTGGGTTTGTACACTTCGAGGGTAAATATTTCATATATAGAAATCGGTTTTGATTAATTCCATCTTTTACTGATTTTATTTGTCTCTAGACTTGAGTGTATTTTCTATTGCCTTAGATTTTTTCCGAGAACAGCTAGGACAACTTAAAGCTTTTTGCGGTATATCTTATCTTTTGCCTTTACGTTTACCTTTGTCGCATACTGTTTTAATAAACCGTCAGATAGTGACCGATTTAGGTGCCCCATTTTCGCATACAAGCCTCGAAGAGGGTTGAAAAGTGCATCGATGTTGAGTAGAATAAAAGAAAATTTACGAGTGGCTCTTGGGAATAACACATGGAAAATTCGATTTTCCTTATCAGAAAAATTTTCCGACCCCAAAATGCACTTATACATTCAGATCATTCAAAAAAATATGTTTTTCGGACTAGTGACGACATACATTTTCATATATTCGATTGGCTTGTGGGGAAAAATCAGACAAAATCTTGATTTTTCCTTAGAATATTACGCCCTTATTTCAACCCTTTAGCCATTTGCAACATTAAAGCCTTTGGTTTTCCAAAGCCTAGTTCTATTAATTATTCATTAGTGAAAACAACTTGTGTGGAAAAATGGGCAACAAATAACCTTCTGTTTTTGTTAGGGAAAATGGATTTGTCCATGTGTTATCCCCAGCAGCCACTCGTAAATTTCCTTTCATTTTACTTAAAATCGATGTACTTTTCAACCCTCTTCAAAGCTTGTATGCGAAAATGGGGCTTCTAAACCTTTCACTAGCTGACGGACTATGACTACCTTTAACAAAACCAATTTCAATAATCGAAATATTTATCCTCGAAGTGTACGAACCCACACGTTTTCAAAAATCACTAGCGATGCAAAATGTTTGAAACAGATCCTAAAATAGTTCAAATTATCTTATCGCTAATTGTGTTTTTGGGGGAAGTTGAAGATATAAAAAAATGTACTTATTGAAAAAGACTTGCAATTATTATTTCATAAAAATCATTTAACGTAAATATATTGAATAAATATTTAAAAAGTTAAAAGCGCTGTTTATGGCTTATATTTTAAATATAACAAAAATTGTATTAAAAAAAGAGATAAAATTGACTATTATAAATTTTATATCGATTTTGGAATTTGAACATAATAGATCAGGTTTTCAATAAAATTATAACGAAAATATCTCGAATGAATATTTTGAAATCTCAAAACTATTTGAAAGAATTTTAGGCGTGGGGTTGATATGTCACAAAAAAATCGCTAAAAGTTTTATCATTGTTTATTTACATACATACAGAATTTATAAATACTATAACATAAGAAATAACAAAAAAATTAATTTACACATTCGCTTCACAAAGACATTGTATTTTTTATAAACTACAACATACACGACAACTAGGTATTTAAGTATTTAGCATAATACAAGGGTGGAAGTTTGATTGGCAACTAGGTATTTATTTATTTAACAATCTTTGGTATAATGTAAAATAACACAAATTTTAAGAGAAATCTAATATTTAATACATGTATATACAACACACATTACTACTGTAAAATGTTAGTTGCCTACCTTTGCCGCTTAAATTTAAAAACCAACATAAATCTGGACCCGACTTAATAAAAAATATTTTTTCCTGATTCAATTCTATAAAATATATAAATTACATGTTGTATTAAAAATTATAACCTACTGGACACTATAATATCCCAATAATAAATGGACATAGGCAAATGACAGAATCTTAGAGTGAAAATGTGACGATCTGGCTAAAATATCGTATAAAGAGTTACAGGCGTGTTAAAGATTTGATAAAATTATATTTAATTTCTTACAATATTTGGCTAAAAATGGTGGTCGATTGGCAACAAAGTTTGTTGACCTGACTTTTTATCAGTGATTGACAGTTATTGTAAATCACGGCAAAAGACCAGGCAGTCGGCCTATGCAGTGAATTTTTGTTAATTTTTGAAGTTGCAATTTGGGGCATTTCTTAAAAAGGGCGTGCCTCTTAACAAACTACTATGATTACAGATATTTTTTCAGAATAATGCTTTACTGACATCAAACAATATTCCCAGCATAACAAATAACGAAAATTATTATTAGTTATAGGGTGAGTCATAAATTACTGAAAATCAAATTTTAATTTTTAATTTTACTTTTAGCATGAGAATATTCTTCAAATTAATAGCACGCTGAAATAGCTTTGCCTTAAATAATCAAAATTAGGGATTATTACATTTTGTACAGAGTGAGTCAAAAAGTTGGTAGACCTGTATGCTGTTTTTAATAAAATTTTGCTTATTATATAGTGTGATTCAAAAAAGACGGAACGAGAAAAACTAGAAAAAAAAAATGGTTTTTCCTTATCTTGCTATATATTTAAACATTGCGTTTTTTTTTAATTTACTTTATTATGAGTTTGCTAATAAAATGTAAACACTATATGAACTTACTATGTGATCAGTTTTTGAGATATGAACTATATAACTTTAGTAATAGACTCGTTTCTCCACCATTCATGCCCAGATAGTTTTTTGTACACAATTGTAAGAAATATTCTATGGTTTCAGTATCCATCTACAATACTTTAAATTATACAGTGTGAAGCAAAAGTATGGAATACATTATTTTTAAAATTATCGACGTTTAAGACTAAGTTCGAAACATGTCGATTTTATTTTTAAATACCCATTCTTTGACGTACTTGCGAAAAAAATTACGTCACCTTTGTTTGACTGTTGATGCAATCGATGATTTCTTAGATAGAAACAGAAGCCATGTAAAAGGTAATTTTATGGAAAATTCAAGAGCAAGAAAATTAATAAATCTAGACATCGATCTTAACGCCCTGTTGGGGATATAAAAATTATTAAATAATTTGAAAGGTGTCATCTCAAATGGAAGCTAAATATATCAGAGCACCATATAACATATAAATAAATTAAACATGAACCTAATTAAAAAATATTACAGAGTTAGCATTATAATATTTAAAAGTTCTAGGAGATATTTAGGATAACGTTATGTGGTGCATTGAGTTACTTATAAAATGGTTTTCATATGAGGCGCCACACTTTAAATTATTTAACAATTTTTGTTTCCATAAGAGAGTGTTAAGATCGATGTCCGGTTTATTCATTTTCATATTGCTGAATTATCAATAATAATTATCACTCAATCGATGTTTCAGGATTTTTCTCAAAAGTCTTCTATTTCCGAAATTTATTCCGTACTTTTACATCATACTGTATAGTTGATAACACAGAAAGGTTGCCCCAGAAAATATACACAAATTCTAGAAAACTTATATTAAACGAATACTTTTTAGAGAGGACATGCTTATTGTAAATTAAAGTTTTCTGCAAATTTCAAAGAATTAAACTAAATTTTTGTTCTGATATAATTTAGTTGTTTTTGGTTTTAAGTTATTTCAAATTCTGCTTGTTAAATGAAACTGGATGGTAAAGTACAAAACGCATCAAAAACTAGTTTAAAATTTGGTGGTGAGGAAACGAGTTTAATTGTTCATATATCATTACCAAGTTTTATATCTCATATTTCAAAAACTGAGCCGTTTATTTTGAAAGTGACCTAAGTCCATTTATACTTAAATTGAGATATCTAAGAGTTTGTGTAAATTTTGTTTAACTGCATTAATTAAACGTACTGATTATTCAACTAATGCAATTGTCCAAAAACTTAGGTTAACTTGTTAAATACTAATTAATTGAAATTACCTTCATCACTTCCTTCGGACATTATCGATAATGAATATCTTAATTTAAGTATAAATGGACTTAAGCCACTTTCAAAATAAACGGCTTAACTGATCATAGTTCATATGACTTTTATACTTTATTAGCAAATTCAAAAAAAAGTTAATGTAAAAAAACTACGCAATTTAACTAAAGGAATTTTTAAATATGGGGCGAGACAAGGTGAAAGTTTTCCTGGTTTTTATCTTTACATATTTGAATCACACTATATGATTTACAAACTATACATATTTTATATATAAATATAAAATAGGTAAAATTTTAATAAACATAGCATACAGAGTTTACCAACATCAAGACATTTTAGTCAGATGCCTGGTCCTTTGTGGGTTTTATAACTCATAGTTGATTTGAAAACCTTGATACTACGATAATTTATTGCTCAACCAAATTTACGAAGTAAGGGTTTTCAAATTTTCAAAGGTTTTATTAAAATTTTATCGGGGTAGTAGCAGATCATCAGATTTTGACCCCATGATTTTGTCCGTTGGGACAGCCTGTTTTAAATTTATTTTTATGATTCTTCCATATTGTTCTCTATTAGAGCGCGTATAAATATAGCGCGTCATGCCTGCGCCGTGCATAGGTTAAAAACGGGCCAGGTTCGCCAAATTTGTATGGTGGTGTGGGTCTACCGCGCGATGGAAAGCTTCGATACTGTTCTGCAGGCCGCGTGGTAGACTAACAGCCCCGGAAAAATCTAACGTACTTGGTATGTTGTTGGAACGACGTAGGCCTAGCGCGCTGTTTATACGCATCTTTAGTTGAGAATGAAAAATGTGTTTAAAAAGAATAACAAAGTTGTCCATTTTCTTCGTAAGGAACATAATATATTTTTTATTAGAGTTTTGGTAATTTTCTTATCACTTTTTGTACTAAATTAAAAATTATCTACCGATTTAGAACGGCTTAAATAATATAGATATACCTATACCAAATAAAAATGATAAAAAAAAACAATTGGCATGTAATAGTAATTATTGTCTTAATATAAATCAGAATCGTTTAACTTCTGATTTCCACTTTTGAAATAATACGAAATAATTCGAAAACAAAACGCTCTAAATAGTCAATAAATATTTGTTTAGCCTCGGCACAATTTTTTTAGGCGATAGTTCATTTACGAACAGGTACATTTAATTTTAAATTATTTGTGAGGGGATTGATACACAGATATCGACAATAATGAAAAACATTACAGTTTATTTCCACAGAAATACTGAGATTTGCCAAAAAACATTTGAATATTCAGTCCGTTTGTAAAACCGCCGTATTCTTAAAAATATACAATTACTTTAAAGACGAGACACAATTAAAGTTTTATGTAATAAGCAATAGAAGCTATATATTTTACGAAACATAAATTAGAATTGAAGTTTCAAGAAATAAGCAATAAGAATCATCTTTGTTTATTTTTACGAATTATATTTTTGTAAATGAATCAATCACACTTGACGTTTAATATTCGTTTATAAAAACAACACTTATGTTTAATTGTGCGTCTGCAATTGGAACACATATACAATTTTTTTAAGGGCAATTTAATATTTTTAATGCACAGGTTTGTATGCGAAAATGGAACACCTAAATCGGTTACTATCTGACGGCAATAAGGAAAGCTCTGGAAATAGGTAGAAGAATAAAAAGAAATAGCAAGGCCTAGGAGAGGATGGATAAATGAAGAAAATATAAATCAAAAGAGGTATCTAGTCGAAAGAAAGGACCCGAGGAAATGGACTGAAGAGTTAGCAAACGCGGTATCTAAACTCAATTCGATGCAGTAAACGAATTAAACAAGAAAAGAAAAATATTTTTTTTACATACCACTTTTCAAGTCAACTGCCATTCTTAATTTTATGCTTTACTGATTCTAGTCTTTAAATGTTAATTCCTTAATTTATAAAACCGAAAACCCATTGCTTAATAATAAAATTCTAATTGTGTCAAAATCCTTAAGTAATTTAATCTCTTTCACTATGGTGATAAGTTCCAGTTTGGTTATCGAAAAGAGACATTTTGAGCCTCTTGCATTTGGCTCTCCTGTTTTTGAACCAAAACTGAACATTCTTGGGTTCTAATCTAGGAAATTTTTGCCTATATGCCATACAATTAAGCTCTTCGGTATATTTTAAAATTAAATTATGCGAGGGATGGGTGTTAAGCGAAAACCACTGTTCGAGCCGCGGAACTTCAGTGACGGGATCTATGAACGTGCGGTTTCTCTTCCTGCGTTCGTCAGCGGTCAAACCAGACATGGCAAGGGATGAACTAGGAGGCGACGTTGCCGAGTGGGATAATCCCGGCATATAATGACTCATATACATAATACTATGGCTGAACATCGAATTAGGGAGGACTGGAAATCCAGCTAATCTGTCTAGGCCGTCTGGGGTCCGGGGTATAAGCTGATTATCCACGTCCTGAGGGGAATTACAGAATCGCCTGCTCACCGGTGACGATGTTACACCATCTATCTCCTCGTCCTCTGCGTCGTCCGACAGCATTTTGTTGTTGACGTGTTCGGTCGAGTTAGAATTAAACTGCGGCATCTCATCTTTCGGTTCTTCCTTGCAATTCTCGATCTGTAACATTCAGTTGCTTACTTCCCAAGGAGCACGGGATGCTGCAAAAAGGGCGCTGACGTTATTGCAGCGTTTATTATCGAGCTGTCTCGATCTTAAGCTCTCTTTGCTTTCCATAACTTATAATCGCAAGTTGTTTTAGTTAACATCGCACACTTTATATGGATTTTAAGACATTTTTATTAAAGTTTTTTGAATTCAATTAAACATTTTGTTACAAGGTGTTCTGAAAAAGTACCGCTAACTAAAGGATGCGTAAATCTAGACCTATTATTAAGAAAGTTAATTATATTTTTCTTCAAACCTCTTCTTTTCCATTATACAGGGCGACAGAGTGAATTATAAAATGATAGAATGTAGATTATGAGAAGGTTCATTTTGGCAAACCTTACTGTACTACGACCTAACAAACTATATATTTATATTTTTTTACTTTATTATTTATTTCGTCTTAAGTTTTATTTTACATTTTCTATATTTGAATTTCCTAATACCCTGCTATAGGAGATTTCCTCCTTTTCCGGGTAGTTTGTCCTGATTACAATAGTAACCTGTGTGCCAGGTTGTGTTCCCAAATCACGATACCCTACACTAATAGCTTAGCGGGGAGTGGAAGGTCTTGAGAGTGAGAGTAAACGTATTAGGTTGGGTGAGTTTTCTTTTCGGTTTGCGGATTAGTGGGAAGCGCTCAGGGCTCCAGGGGGTTTGTAGAGTGTTTTGGGAATGTGTGTTTGGGCCTTTCAGAGTGCGAGAGCAGTATTATCGGCAGAGAGAAGACATTTTGACGATTGGTAATTTGGGAGTGGAAGATCGTGGGTGTATATGAGGTATAGTAGAGAAGTGAGGACGGTCCCCTGTGGTACTTCAGCCTGACTGGGCGTTGTCTACTTTGACTGTGATAGTTCTGTCAGTTAAGTATAAATGTATGAGTTTTGAGATATTGAGACGAAAACCTAAGTTCATAAGCTTTTTGACTAAATCAGCATATCAGACTTGGTAAAAAGATTTTTAAACATCGAGAAGAATAGCTGAAAAGATTTGCTGTGACCGCAGTAGTATGTGAGGGGATTTCGTCCTGAGTGGAGTGATCTAAAACCGTATTGGGATTGAAGAATTATGTTCTTCACAAAAGTCCCGGATTATATCCTTGAACAGAAGTTCACAGAGTTTACCTAGTACTGATATGAGGTAACTAAGGATTTTGGGTCTTTGCTTGGTTTGTGAATCAGAATGGTGTTGGCGTGGAGAAGGAAAATGAGAGGCAGGCGTTCAGAAGTAGGGTAAGAATAGGAAACTTGATTTCCGCATTCTTCTGTGTATGGAATCGAGTCCAGAGGGCGAATTTTTGCCTGATTGACAGGCATATTGGATGTCTTGGAGGGTGAAAGGACCAGTGAGAGAGTGTTCAACATCCCATAGTAGGATTGGATCGGCAAGTGTCTGATGGATATTGAGTTTAGTCTCGTGTCGGAAACGATCGTCAAAGTAGGGGGTTATCAGGGGTTCTGAATATGACTTCAAAGTGTGTCTTGTGAGCTAAGACTTCCTTGTTGAGAGTAGTGTATATTGTATATTGTATATTTTACCGTCGATTTCAATGTGGAAATGTGTTTTGAATTTTTGACTAGAGATGATTCGGAGTTTGTCCCAAAACTTGGAAACATTTCTATGATCCAATTTGAGGTGGTATTGATCCATTGTTGCCATGTGTGTAAGTTTATTTAAAGTCTAATCAGGGCGCTGAGTTCCATTCGGTTTTAAAGACAAGGTCGTGGGTACGGACATATTATCTATACAATAGGCATTTTTAAAGAATTAGATTTAGGATGAATTGGGGAGGAATTTTTGTGAGATGTTGATGGAAGTAATTGAAGCGGAAAATAAACAGTGCACCCACTGAAATCTCTAGGAGAGATTTGTGCGTGAGTTGCACGAAATAGGGCTGAATTTTTGACGCCAAGGATTACCAGGGAATCGATGTCCTATAGGGAGTGGAGCGGGCGGTGCTCTAGGATGTTTGCAGAGATAAGGTCTCTGAAATAATGGGCAATCTACCATTTTGAGATTTCAGAAAATGTACATCGTAGCTATTGGTGGAGCGGAATGAACGGGAGATGTATGTAGTATCAATGGGAGATTATCGCAAGTAAATGTTTCTCCAATGAAGCATTTATCAGCAACCAGTCCAGTAAAGGAATCTGTCAGATAGATAGAGTCGATATGTGAAACACGAAGGTTGGACGGCGGTTTAAGGCTATGAAGATGGGGTAGTCGATAAGTAGATTAGCTAGATGGATGCTATGTAGATTTAAGGCGTGATCTCTGAACATAAATACGCAAGAAAGAAGTCTTTTGTTGACTCGTTGGGAATGAACTTTGGAAGTTATTATATTTAGCAGCAAAACGAGATGGGTAGTCGTAGTTGAGTCCAAGCTTTCGGATATGTTTACATCCATCATCAGGGAAAACGTAGTGAGGTTGGTTCATGATAAAATTAAAAATTATTATAAAACTATAACTAAAACTAAATACAGAACAGTAAAAAACAGTAAAAACATATCTAAAGATGCATTAAAATTACCTATTAATAAAATTTTGTAAGATATTTTAAAATTTTTTCAATTAAATAGCGGCTATTCAATTTTTAGGTTACAATTTACTCACGGTATATTTTAATAAAAGTTTTTGAAATATATTAAATCCATTAAGTGTGCGATGTCCTATAAGTAAAATTAGTTTTTGATTTTTTTTTTCATACCAATAAAAATTGAAATAATTGTAAATTCTAGTGAGCTTAAAATCCAAAACAGCTTTGCAATAGCGTTGTCGCTGAATAATTTAATTGAATCATTTGAGTAAAATCCTGTTATCAAAATTTATCTATAAAATATTTTAAGTTGAAAAAAGACTTTAATATTTCAATAATTATTTTTTTGTTGGTACTGATTTTAAAAATGTAATTGTTTTTAAATTAAATTAAAGAGAAAAGTTTACTTACTTGTATATCAGGAGGAGGTGGAGGTGTAGACGATCTAGGACTTGCTTCTCGAGAATCCTTTCTTGTAGTAAGAGATAACGGTCCCGTAGGGCTGCTAGGGGGTACTCCCTCGTTAAGTTCGTCATCTTCCATGTCAGACCCAGCATTTGAAAATTCGTCAGAAGTGTGAGAATTTTGTAATTTTGTAAGTTTGTAATTTTTTAATCGATGTTCAGCCAACCGATCAGAACTCATATAATTTTCTGTCAGTAAGAATCCTCCGTTGGTAGGACTGTGGTTATTATAACCATTTACTCCTAAATGATGTAGGTTAGGAGTAGACACGTTTCGAATCTCAGCTCGCTTCTGAGCCGCTCTGGCGTTTTTGAACCAATAAACAACATTGTTAATATCTAACGGTTTTCTACCTCTTCTTGATTCCAGACTATTTAATTCCTTAACGTATTGCTGTATTTGTTGACGACTGGGATGTTGGTTTTCAGTAAACCACCTTTGTAACTTTGGTAGCTCTAATTCTGGATCAAAACTAGTTCTCATTCGAGTCTTCTGAGTAGGAAATTGGTTATGGACTGTCTGCATAGCCGGATGGGTATCGGTGATTGTACGATCCAGTGGCGTCGGTGCTTGTGTAGGGACCGAATATTGGTTGGGATAAGATGGTACGAATTGAGATCTACCAACAGGAGATTGTGGGCTAATTTGAGAAGTCCACCATTGGTCGAATTTGCGACGGTTTTCTTCAGATATTTCTGGTAACGGTCCTCCTGAACAATTAGTACTTCTGCAAAGCTGTGAAAGAAGAATCTGAAACCAAAAAAACTTTTTTAATGCACAGAATTTTTAAAGTCTACATAATACTGTACAAGTTAGGTTGAAAATGAGTGGGATGATCTCATCGCCTTCCACTGTAGTTCAGATGAATCTATCGTGGGTCATGTCTAACTTATAGTTCACGGTACAAGCTATATCTTTTGATGAAGGTCATGGTTAAATTGGGTGATATCTCTTTAAAGTCGGTAGGCTCCAGTCGGGTGAATCCGAAGATCTGGAACCTAGTTCTTGCCAAAGTGGAGCTCTGCGGATTCGTATTCCACGCTGCAGAATCAATAGTCCGATGTTTGTTGCAGAACTATTAATCTCATGTGGTTACCTAGACGACGTTGTCCTGTCTTTAATCCCGTGAGAATACGTAGATTTTTCCTAATCGATTCCTGGATCTGAACCGAGGCGTTCATGGAACGTTGGATATAAACGCCATCGAATGAGTTAGACTTGGGCTATCTCTTCAGTTCGTGGATGTAATACCCTAAGATAATTCCTTTGACAGTGCTTTTTGCAATGTCCAGGAATGATTCTGGCCTTATGAACTCAGGTCCGGTTGTCCTTTTAGCGAGCGGCTTTTGCATTACCCTCCACACAGCTGTATCCCGGAAACCAGATCAAAGTAACTTTGTTCCGGGTAGAGAGACACTCAAGGGCATTAAACAGTTCCAGACCAGTTATTAATTAAAACCTACTGGTTGCCGCTGGAGCAGGTCAAAGTCCTGCAGCCTAATAACGTCACCGAGAGATGTCCACAGATACCTTATTTTTAAAAATGGGCATTTAATGGCATTCTACCACCCCGATGGTAACTGCTCGGATGAAGCCATTCTGTTCGCTCACTCCACAAAGCACATCTTTATAGTTTTATTAGCGAGGAGAAAATAAATCAACTACTCTCTCGCTCCCAATTTTATAGCAATCATTTCTACTTGGAAAGTGGTAGCCAGAGAGCCCATTTTTATTGACATGTAAACTCTTCGCTTCTAGCCATAAATTCGGACTCCTATTTCTTTTTAAGTTTTGAAGTCGTCCGTGTACAGCGCATAGTCCACCTGGAACAGGATTTTATTTCCCCTGCCCCATACGTCTAACTCTGGAATAAGGACGTTGTATGACTTTTCTATGTGCTGTCGAGGAACTAACGAGTCTGAGACCATGCCAAAGATGTGGTGGTTATTAATCTCACTCATCAACCCCGCTTTCTCCCATCGCAGTTCTTCAAATACCCACTTTCAGGAGTCTATACGAGACCATCCTGGCCTCCTTTTCCAGGAAAATGTGGAGAAGAGTTAGGTCCAGTATGGTCTCCATGGTTCGTGTTGATGTGGTTGACATTGCCTCAGTGATGACGAGCCAGCTTTGTTCCAGTCATCCGTAGAAGCCCCTTGTCCCACCAGGCGACAAAGCTATACGTAACTATAGGTTTTACCACGATTTGATAAATCCAGTAGATTAGTTGAGGACTGATTTGTCGCATTTCCTTCTGAGGGCTCATCGCACCATCTGTTAATCGTATTTAGATTTAGAGCTTGTTGAAGGATGTTGGAGATTACCTCTTTGTACTTTTCTCCAATTATAATAACTAGATCATCCGCATAGCATTGAAAATCCACTCCTGCTGAAAGAGATAATGTAACAGGTTATCCAGCAGAATGGTCCACAGTAGGGCTGAAAGTACGCTGCCTTGTGGACATCCTCTGGCAGGCCTGAAAATGAGACTCTCTCCCTGTAGTTATGAAATGATGTTTCCAAGCATGCTTTTGATCCAATTACAGATCAGTTTGTCAATTCCTCTTCTTTCAATAGAAGTAAATAGAGACTGAAAGGCGTTATTAAACTCGCCGTGTATGTCTAGGAAGACAACCAGCGCAATCTCCCCGTATTTTAGGGAATGGCCGATTTGCCTACTAAATTGTGCAGGGTATGATCTGTCGATTTGCCTGCTTGATAGGCATTTTAGGAGTAGTTTAACGGAATTGTCCGAAGCCTTCTTCTCTAATATAGCTATCTAAAATTATCTCTAATGTCTTTAAAAAGAAAGAATGTTAGGCAGATTGGACGATATAAGTAAGGTAAGGATGTATCTACTCTACCAGCTATGTGTATATATGTTACGGGCAGTGTTGTAAATTGGGCACTGATGATATTAACCGGACACTAACGTCAACAGAATGCCCAATCAAATAGGAGATTTACGAAAATGACTGGCCAATATCGTTAAAGACCGAAATATCATCTTTGACCGTAACATATATACAACTTTGCCATCGTCCAACCTAAAGAGATATAGCTGCGCCAGGCTTTCTCTAAACAGTCTCACGAGAGCGGTAGCAAAGTTCCTGTCCTTTTTGCAGAAGCACAGGAAATATGTCATTCTTTCGGGGCGATTAGACAGTGGGAAATCGCCCAATTCACGACATTTGGAGTGACAATTTGGACAACGTAGTTCCAGACCTTCTTGGGTCATGTTAGTGACTAATTCTTTAGCTCGATTGAAGAGACGTCGAACTTCTTTTTTTTATCTATATTTCTGCTCCACCATGGAGTTCCTCTTAGGCCCCTTCTCTCCTCTCCTTTAGTTAGGCAGTTGTCTTGATAATCAATCATAAGGGAATTTTGAATTTAATCATTCGCCACTTCAATAGCTGCGCTATTCTTAAGTTTGAATTATATTTATAGACTTGACGAGCCCTTACATCGTCAGGATACTTTTTCCAGGTGTTTGTATTTTGAATATACGAGATACACTGTAAAGGCACAGCTCAAGCCATGTAACTCGGAAGCGTAAATTATAGAAGATGCAAAGAATGTACTTTATAACATAGGCACCCACTAAGCAAGTCTTTTAAAACATTCTCACTTAAGGTGGTTGAATTAACCTTTTATTAATTGAGCGACACTTTATAAATAGAGAAAGGGGTCAAAATTCGTAACCATATTAAAATGCAAAACGCAACAGTGAGTCTACACAAAGTGTAAAAGTAACGCTACACCTGACCGTAATTTACTCAGATCGTTTTCATATTTACTCGTAATTGGGCGTTAACGTGTTCATTACTGCTCGCTTTATCGCAAAGGTTTTAATCTGTTTGTGGTTAGATTATATTAAATAACAAAGTTTTCTCGAAGAAAATTTTACGCACCGCCACTGGTTGATTCGACGATTTATCCTCTCTTAATTGAGTCAGAAAAGCTGTAGAAACTGATTAAAAAATAAGTTGAACAGCCACAGAATGCTGGGTTATAAATTATAACACTTGTGCTTTTCATTTGAATAGTAGCTGAACCTGAGATAAAGCCGGGAAAACACGGTTTTCAAAGTCCGCTTTTAAGCACCTAATCTCGCGCTCTAAAACCTACTCAAACATTTGCTAATATATGCTTCTTATTATTCGCGTCTTATCTGCTTTATGCGGATCTCACAAAATCTGTGTAACCCACCAATTCCCGAGTTTTCACCCTTTTAATCCTTTTTAATGATATCAACTCCATTTCTGTATGGGAATAGGAATAGACAAAAATTTACGAGAAACCTTTTTAAAACCAATTAGAAATCGTTAAATATTTTTTCTGGATTCACTAATCACTAGTTATGAGATTTTAATAAAATAAAATAGTGTTAGAATATCTAATTAAAATTATTATAATAATTATGTTTAACTAGTTGAAAATGTATTTGAATTATATTAGAGTACAAATAAGGAAAGTAAGGTTTTCGCTAATGCGTAGACAAGTTTTGCACATTAGACTAATCTTAGGCTCAGGCTCAATGGTGGAATAAGGATTGAGACGGGACAAATAGTTCATAAAAATGTACCGAGCATCTACTAAGCCAAAATAAGAGCAATGCTAGGAGACCACTTGATGCCACCATTTTTCTAAAAGTAAAGTTAATAACTTCAGAAGTAAACCCAAAGTTGCCATTTATTACAGAAGTCATTAAAAAAAAGGCATTTTTCCTTAAATTTCTTGATTTACCAGAACAAGTACGATAAGAATATTGTTGGAGACTCTGTACTTGTTATTTATACACTACAAACGGTTAATATGTCAAGTAACGATTACCTACTCAAAAATATAAAATTCTGAAATATATGTTGCGCATTAAATAATAATATAATAACTAAAATCTTTATTTTTCAGAAGACGCATTTGAAGCGTCATCGTATACAATTTAAAGATGACTATAAAGATTTTTTGAAAGCTGTAAACAGCCATATCAGTAATGAAATAGAGATTCCGTTTTCAAATAATTAGGATTCTTAAATTTATAAGAGGCTTAAATCGAACAATATTTGCTACCTACATTTCTAAACGTAGAAAATATACTTAACAAAGGAATATAGGAATATTTAATGGCATAATATACAGGACTATTCAGTATTAGGAAGGCTCTAGACGCGATGATGACGTTATCACTGAACAATCATATAGAAAACGTCGCATTCTGTAGTTGTGTTGAGAATATGTATAAAAAAAATCATTTGATGCTATGGCCATATTTGCAGTGGTGTTTCATGTAAAACAAAAGGCATCCATATCTAAACCAGGTCAAAAATAGTGTCGGCATTAGTTGCTAAAAAAGTTATGGTAATTTCTTATTCCCCACCATCAACAAACATGGTTCATTTTTGTAAATATCAAAAAATTCTTCCATGACACGCCGAATTTGGTCTTCCATCTTCCAAATACTGCAATTATTTGTCTAAAATTAACTTTTGCAAATTGCGCTACCTACATGTTCAATAATTATGCATTGTTCAATGCTCGAAAAGAATTAATTAAATATGGGAAAAAAAAATTTCAAGAGGAAAAAAATTAAAGACTTCAAGCTAAAACCAGATAAGTCTGCAAAAATGGAAAAATGATTTTGATATAGAGAAGAATAGCCAAATATGGAATATGTTCCTAAAATGGAATACCATTAAATTACTTTAACTAGTTTTGGCAACGCAGCGCTAATCGCATCCAAACGTAGT